AATAAAATTTTTAAAATATTTGTTATCATCAATTAGAATGCGCTCTCCCAATTCTATAATGAGACCTAATAAGGATAGAAATTATTTGTTTTATAATCAATTGATTGATAATAAATAACAAAAATAAATAAATGAAATTCTTTTATGATAAATACTTGTTTAATACATGAACTAAATTCAATTAATTTGATTCCTTCTGATAATTCCAATTTATCATTATTTAGTTGTATATTATCAAATTGTCGATACAAGTTTAGTTTCTCTATTGCCAATAAAGCTTCTATATTTAGAGCTAAAGCTCCGAACGGTTCAGTTCGGTTTCAGTTTAACTCTTTGAACTGAATTGTACAGAGCTTTAGGCTAGAAACAATTTGGCAGTCCCCGGTATTCTAAATTTTGCACTCTGCTTATTTAGAATTAATTTATTGACTTCTAATCTAATAAACTTATTATAACAACCATGTCCCGGTTGGATGAGTTTTTCTGGAGGCACAGACTTAATTACTCAAATTCATTGTAGTTTAGAACCTGAAACAATAAGAGTTTGCATGTGTTTAAAAAGTCGGCGGAGACAATGAATTTCATATATGAATTGAAAAGAAATAGAATGTCACTAGAGTTTCTATTCGAATTATTTGTTTATTCGTTACCAAATTACATTGAAAGTTTAGTCAAATAAGACAAATAAAACAAAATGAATAAAATGAAACGTATAATTCAAATAACAAGTAATTCAAGCAAAGCGAGTAAAGCGAATAAGACAAATAAAACAAATAAAATGAATAAAATGATATAAATTTTGTATACTATGAAGAGACATCGGAAGATACAGAGTACAGAAAAATTTTTTTTTATTAATAATAAAAGTTCTTTACAATAAAAAATCATTATTAAATTTGGACATGCAATTCAATATTGTTGTACCATGAAAAAAAAATCGAGACAATTTTTTTTTACTCCCGTTTTAAAGCTGAATTGAATGGTGGTGATTTTTTTAACTTTTGAGTATATATGTACTCAATAAAAATCAGTAAATTCACATAAACATGTAAAATAAATTTAAAATATTATAATCAAACATATAAATATGTAAATTAACTGATCTTGGTTGTTTCAAATATTATATCGGAATGTAAGTAGTAAAAAAGTATTCAATTCACTCATGACATCATTCTGATTTCAAATTGACACGAATTGGATTTCTATAAATCTAATTAATAGCAATTGGTATCAATTTAACTAATAACCATTTTGGTGCTGTTTGCTGTTAAGTGAACCTAAGTTATTAAAAAACCAATTAACACTAATTGGCATGACACCTGATCAGACATCATTCTACCAGTGCAGGTGGTTCTCAAGAAGCTGAGCCAAAGACTTTTGTTAGAATAAGGTGATGTCTCAAAACGTAATCATGCATATTAGAATAATTTGATAACAATGTTGGTTGGAATTGAAAATAAAACAAAAATATGGAAATAATATTTTCTTATGCTTAAAAAGATGGGAATAGTTTTATTCTAAATTGGTCAAATGAGTTTATCATGAGTGTGAAGATGTTGCTGATATATAAAGTTATTTTTAGAAGTTGTGTATGGAATGGTAGTTTAATTATTTTTTCAATTTATTTTAGTGCATGGTGACTTTTAACAAAACAATCAGTAGACTTAAATTCTCAGATAAAAAAATTAGAGTTTAGTGAAAATGTTTCTCATGATGCTCAAGTCATCACATGACCTGGAAAGAATCTGATTGTTGGTTGAATCTTGAACAGCTAATAGATAAAAT